CCTCCTGGGCAGGTGGGAATCGAACTCATGCGGAAGTGGCTTAAGCTTCTTAGTGCTGTGCTTTAACCCGCTGCACCACCAGGGAGGGCCCACAAATAAATAAATTTTTTAAAAAAAATTTAGCTAATTTTGGTGACACCCGATAAACATTTGCTTTTGCTTTCCCGGGACCCTAGTATTTCAGACTAGAAATTAATGTTCTGCTTCTCCTTTCAAGAGCCGGATGAAGAAAACACGAACGACTAAATGTTGAATTTGCCGGCACAGATGGTGAAAACCTACAGCCTTGGTATCTAGGAAAAGAACGTGGCCACAAGCAAGGCGAATTCCCATTTAAGCAGCTAGAGGACTCCAGATGTCTTCTTACTAGCGCCCCAGACACGCATCCTTACTAGGCCTTTTCATAGGGAAATTGCGGCCTCCATTTCTTAGCTCAGGTTACCCACGTAGAGGGAGGCCCGTGGTAGAGCCCTCGCACCCCTGCAAAGCGACCCCGGGACGAAACCGCCGCGTCCCTGGCCACAGAACCCTGGCCGCGCAGCTGCCTCCCACAGCGCCCCGCAGTGAATTTCAGGTGTAACACGAGTCGCGGAAGGTGCAGAAAGGCTGAGTGAAATCGCCTGCAGCCCAGCCGCGGGGGCAGGGACCTCTGCGCCAGCCTGAGTGCCTCCACGCGCCTAGCGGCCCCCGCCAGCCCAGCGCCCTCGCCCACCCTGGACCCTCAGGCTCCGCGTCCTGCTAGGGACCATGGCCATGGGATCGCGCGACCCTGCCCTGTAAAATCCAAATTAAAATCAACTTGCCATGACGGAGGAAGAGAGGCGCCCTCAGCGGGCCTAGGGTTGCAAATCTAGCGGCTCGCTGAGGGCGGGACGAGAGCCGACTGGAGGGTTTTGGTTTCGGTTTTTTTGTTCTGGCTCCTGCCGAGAACAGACTAGGGCCTTGCCTCCCCATCCAGCTGTTCTGAAACTTAAGGCTGGCGGTTTGGTCCTGGGAAGGCTGATGCCGGCCTAGGCACCCTCAGTAATTTCACAATTTTTGAAACCACTTCGGAGAGAGGCCAGGAGGATTCCCCGGGAGAAATTTGGGGATTCCCTGGCTGCTGTGTCTGTCGGTGCTCTGTGGAGTCTGGATATCTTTCCTAACACTTCTTCCTCTCCCAACCATTTTCTCACTACAGGACACCTGAGCCTTCTCCCTGTCACTTCCCAGGCCCAGGGCCAGTATCAGGCAAGAATGAAAAACCCAGGGATTCTGTCAACAGTTTATCTTCCATCTTATCCTACCCTGGCCCCCACTCCTAACCTGGAGACCAGCCTGCACTTCACATATTATAACTTCAAAGTCAGAGCCAAAAAGAATACGAAAAAGTAAGTAAAATAGACTGGCAAATATAAAGAAAGTCAATTCCACTCCTAAAGAAAGAAAGAAAGAAAACAGAAGTCATAAATAGATCTCTTTTTTTCCGTGATTAGATTTGCAAAAATAGAAAGTCACATTGGCAAAAATGAAAGCATCATTGTTGATGCTGTGGTAGATGCAAACATTTGTAAAGAGTTGGTTCCTTTCTAAAGTGTAAATATAAAAAACTGAAAGATTGCATATATCCTTAGGGGTTTTCAGAACAAGTTGTAGTGCACAAGTTGTGCATTGTTTGTAACAGACGTGTTTGATTTTTTAACTGGGATCCACTCAGTTTATCCATGAATAGAGTTCTTTATTATATAGCTGTTTGCACATCTACAAAGCTCCAGCCACACAGATGTTAAAACAGCTCTCCCTGGTGACACAACAAGTTAAAGCACAGCACTGTAAAGCTATACGCAAACACTGCAGCTGGAGTTGGTTCCGTGGCCAGGTGACCCACATGGTGTGGCACTCTCCTTTTACCCCGCTGCTCCCCTCAGCAGTGTGTTTCAGTAGATCCACTAGTTCTGCTCCCCACTGTCTCTGGTGAATCCTTACACTGCCCATACCTCTCTGGCCTGCACCCCATTTCCTGTATGCATAAATAAATAAACCTTAAAAAAAAGGCAGCACCTGTTAAATCAAAAAAGGAAGCTATTAGATTAATGTGCCTCTAAAGCCAGGGTGTTCCACAGAAAGAACTCAAAATCCAAACCTATCAACGTCTAGGGGTTAGGATGACCAGCGAACCAGCTGGACTTTAAGTGATAAAGCAATCCAAAAATGGCCTTTCTCACTCCCATTTCCCTGTATCAGTATTGGCCTGATTCAATTCAGAGGGATGAGCCTAACCATTTCCTGTATTATGTTACCTACCCTACTGCATAATTTTACTCAAATATATGCTAAATATGCCCCCATTTATTTTCTAATAATCTATACTAATCCCTAATATCAGGGTGTAATTGAATAAGGTCAAAAACTAAGCCCCCACTCCAGACCCAGCAGACAGGTTTGGGAGCCTGGAATAGATAAGGAAGAATAAAGCTGCCTTTGGGACAAGGCCATAAAACCAACCACCATGAGCAGAAAAACCAGCCCATTTTCAGGAATGCAGAAGCAGAGGCCAGAACATGTTTCTGGGTCAGACATGTACTAGAGACCACACATCCCAGCAGATATATGGTGCAAACTGGCACCCCAAGTTAAAAAGCCTTGAAAATAGTTTTAATAGAGAGCCTCAAATCGTCCTTCCTGCACAAATTTCCCCCAGTCTCACCCCTGCTTTTCTTAGCAGTGTATTTCAATAAAGCCACCTGCTCTGTTCTCCACTCTGATTCTCTGGTGAATTTGAGGCTTCGGGCAAGGGAGAGTATAGAATAGAACAGAAAAACCCCTGAGGAGTTAAGGGAGACTGCAGAGATAAGGGCAAAGTATTGCAAAGGGGATTAATCAAACATCCCAGAACTAAGAGCAACAGGACCTTCCTTCTAGAACAAGGAAAATAAAGAGCTGGGCACAGAGACATTAAGATTGTAAGAGTCTTAAACTTTAAACTGGTACAGCAATAGAAACTAGCTGTGGCTGCTTCAGCACAAGTTCGATCCAGGGAGGTGACCCACATGTCATGGCAGACCTTTCCTGTCCCCGCCCACTGCTCCCCTCAGCAGTGTACTTTTTCCATCTGCCTGTTCTGCTCCCCACTCTATCTCTGGTGAATCCACTCACAGCCCCTACACTTCTGTATCCCAATTCCTGAATGCATAAATAAATAAACCTAAAAGAAAAAGAACTTGTTGGGAAAAAACAAAAGAAATAGTGAGGCCACTGAAAACTAACCAGTCACAAAGAGACTGGTGGAGCCCTAGAATAATCAGGGAAAGAAGGTGAATATTCCCTGAGGCATGACTCCACTTTGGCTTCATTGCCCCTCCCTGGCCTGGCTCCCCAGCCTGGTAGTCCCACTTTATTTGTTCCTTTTTTCTCTCAGTAAACTTTTTCTTTGTCTGAACCAATTTGCCCTCTTGCTGGCTTGCCTGAGCATCTACAAAGTTCCTGCTGTGGCATTGTGAGACACTAACCAGTGGTGTTCTAGTGGCTGGGACTCAGCACTGCCACTGCAGCCTGGGATCTGCTCCTGGCTAGAAAACTAGGCCTGAAAAACCTGACATTTCGGAATCAAATTCTTGTTCCCCCCACTCCTCCAGTTTCACTTTGATCTCATGAAATCTAAATCATATTTTTTTTTCAGATACTTTTAACAAAATGTTTGCCTGGATGAGTAATAAGCACACATGAGATTTAAAAAGACCAAGCAGAGTTTTCTTCTCCCTTCCTCCCCCTCCATAAATAAATAGCCCTAGCCACCTAGAAGATCAAATTTAAGAATCACTGCTCTCCTTAATTTCTCTCTTACTTAGCTCTATTAGGCCATCCCACTAACAACCAATGCAAAATATTCATTATCAGTCATTCCTTCATCTCCCTTCTACCTCCACCACTCAGATCACATGCCCACCCCCACCACCACTGCCCCCCCACCCCAGTTCCTCTTCAACCCATTCTGAACACCACACCCAGTATATTTTTAAATATAAATCAAGTTTGATCCCTATTTAAACACTCCATTGTTTTCCCATTACTCTTTAAATAAAATTCACATTCCTTAAGGGGAGACCAAAATGGCCTTAATCTGCTCTCAAGCCAGGCCCCCCAGCACTGTCCTCAGCCCTCTCTCTGTTTAGCCCTCCCTCTGTTTAGCCCTCCCTCTGTTTAGGCTGTCAACAAGCTGTCTAGCCTCTGGCTTTTAATAGCTTTTCTTTTTGGAGGTTTCCTCCCTGATCTTTATTTAACTGGCTCCTTTTTCAAATAACCCCTCCTTAGAGTCTGTTTGTGATCATCCCATCTAAATTTGTCTCTCCCTCCACCCCATCAATTACTGTTGCATCACTCTATTATTCCATCTTCAGAGTCCTCACCCTTTCTGAAAACACCATTGTGTTAGACAGTGATAGACAGTGATAGTGTCCATCAATATTCCTTGTTCTTTTCCATACAGGCATAAAGAGGTATTGCCCTTTGCTGTGGGCACAACTGTATAATTCCTTCAGCCAAAGAGATGTGATAAGAATTGATGCTTTGTATTTGAGTGGAAACAGTATATTGCCAGCACTGGTCTTTTCTTTCTTCTTTGCTCATGAAAGCATGTATTGAGAGAAAGGAGCAGCACTGACCCACCATATAGAAGTTGCTAAGGATCATAACAAAACCTATGTGAAAGAAAAATAAAACTGAGGTCTTAACTAAATCTGTATCAGTTATCTAAAAAGAGGAGGTTCCATGTTCCTTTCCCACCTGGTGAAGGGCAGTGCTGAGCAGCAAGGGGAAGCTAAGGAGGACTTAGGAGAGCATTTGGAAGAAAACTCTGTGCAGCAGAGAGATATGTAAAAAAGCATACTTGCTTCTGGCCTTGGACTTTTAGGAGACACAAGAGGAGTTGTGGGTAAAGGACCCTTGGGGAGCCTGACAATGGCAGCCTTCATCTTGTATTTTGATTTTGCACCTTTCACTACAGACTTGCCTGGCTCTTTCTGCCCCTTCCTATAGTTCCCAGCCAGAAAACTCATTAGACTGTGTCTTAGGCAAGGATGACCCTATAAAAAAGCTGTTTTTAAAGGAGTTGCAGTCAGTGCTGAAAAGAACAATGAAACAATAGCCCTTTACAGCAGTATTAATAATAGTACAAACTAATACCTTACTTTATGGAAAGCAATTATAACCATATACATCAAGATCCTTAAAAGAATTTATATCCTTCAACCTATCAGCCTAGTAATTATCGCCCTGAAGTGAAATCAGATAGCAGCAAAAGATTTGTGTATTAAGACACACAAGATTTTTGTATATCCTAACACTTGCAAGTTTGAAAAAACTGAAAATAATGTTCAACAGGGAAATGACAGTTGATTATATTAATGAAATGAAGTGTGTTACATTTTTCTAAAAAGACTTGAAGGGAGAATATGAATATGTTTATAATATATAGTGGTGGATTTTGGTGACTTTTATTTTCATTATGCTTTATATGTTTTTCAAGAAAGATAATCTTTTCTATTTTATTGTTAACCATTTATGTTAATATTATTCATATACAATTTTGGCTTTATAGATTTACACCTTTATATATGACAGATTTGAACATCCTGGCCCCTTTATGGTTTGTTGAATAGTGCCCTATACTTAGTTCTAGCTGAGTTGTGAATGTGTAACAGGGTGACCCCAGGAAAAGGGGAAGTTTCAGGTTCCCTACCTCATCCAGAAGGAGGGTGGAGCTGAGCAGGGAAAAGAAGAGGAGAGAAGAAATCTGAGGAGGGAGGAAGCAGGATGGACAGCCAGAGACCTGAGGAAGCCACATGGAGCAGCAAGCATGTGATGAAGAATCCATGCTTGTTTCTTGGCCCTGGACTGGTTAAAACAGATGTGGGTGAGATACCCTTGGGGAGGTTGACTATGGCAGTGTTTATATTGATTTTGATTTTGCTCTTTTCCTCCCAGGTTTGTCTGGCCATTTCTGCCCCTTTTCTATGGGTCCCGGCCAGAAGATGTAGCAGGCTTTCGGGCCTTGCTTTGGACGAATCCCTTTTGGGCTGACTTTTGCCCACAAGGGTATGGGTAACTTCAGGTGTTTGATTTAGAAATTATATTCTTTGTGTTCCGTATTGTATACTCACTGTATTAAAGTTCCTTTTCATTAAAGTCTTAAATGTCTTTCCTTGATGAGGTAGATGGCAGAACCTATTTAGAGCAGGCAGGTTTGGGAGTTCAGTAGTGCCCCTCTCTTCCTGCCATGTAACAGACTGAAGGGACATTTGTGAACCAAGAATTTAATTACTAGTTCAATTATCTTTGAAAGCTCATCTGACATGGCATCTAGCAATAAAGATAATGGCAACTGTTAACCTGGTCCTTGAGCAAAGTTCCTCTTGTTAACCCACCTTGGATGTGTAGCATGAACAAGGTGTAATCTTTTATCATTTCAGAGCTCTGAAATTTAGAGATGATTTGTCACGTAGTCTTTTCTATTTCATTAAATGATACAGAAATTGGTAAAGCCAAAAGAAAAAAAAAAAAAAAAGGCCCTCCCTGATGGCGCAATGGGTTAAAGTGTAGTACTGCAAGAGAGCTGCAGCCACCTAAAAGTGCAAGTTCAATCCTCAGCCCCGGAGGTGACCCGCATGGCAGGGTCTCGTGACAGCTCACTGCTCCCCTCAGTAGTATACTTCTTTAATCTGCCTATTCTGCTCCTCACTCTGTTTCTGGTGAACCCTCTCACTGCCCCTGCACCTCACCTGCACCCCAGTTCTGTATGCATAAATAAATAAATCTATTTTAGAATGACAGACTTTTAATATGCTCAAAAATCTTTAATTGGTGAGAGGGTCAAAGAGTGGAGGTAAGAGGAGGGAGAAAATCTGTCAAACAGCTTCTTAATCAAACTCAAAAAATCACCCATCTCCTTTTGGGCAAATACCTTGCCAAAGAGGCTTGGCCCAAAGTGGGCAAACTAAAGCCTGAAAGTATGACAGGATGATGAAGACAAGAAAATTATGATTTGGGTAGATCCCAGAGAGAAAGAACCTGAAATTCCCCATGCATTATCCAACTGGATAATCTACCACCAGGTCAAGATGACAGCTGCCATTATTCTTGAAAAGACTGCCTGCCAAAGCACTAATGAACCAGGAACAGCCTCTCCACGCGACTCCCCTTCCTCCCTTGCTCACCTCAATAAATGTTTCTGCTTGTTCCTTCCTCCTTCCCAGCCACCTGTTTTAGGAAGTCCAGCTCATGGCACACTGGGAATTCTACTGCAAGAAGTCTGAGATATTGTTGATATATGTGACTCTGTCAGTTCATTCACTGGTTCAGAGTTCATTCTTCTGACATATCATCTTCTGTGGACAGCCGATGAAGGTCTCAGCTATTAAGACAGACTCCGAGTCTAAGTGAATTTGCAGCAGGGGGAGTCTGGAGAGAGTGTCATCGAGAGCAATGCTGCATTTCACTCTCTCAGTCCAAGCTTTTATTAAAGATATAAAGAAAGGAATAAGAAAATAACACACCATTGTGTTTGTGCTTATATAAATTAATAAGTTACTGCTGGAACAAGTTTCCCTAGTTAGTAGAAACACATGCTCAAGCTGGTAAGTCCTCAGAAAACAAGAGTCAATTCTGGGAACCTCTTGGAACTCCATTTGCAGAGCAAACAGGTACTCTTAGAGAACTCTAGCTCCCTTTAGGTCAGCAGGCTACCAACAATTATCTAGAGTTCATTTACTTTGAGTCTAATGCTGTGCTTGGAGGGAATTTTTGGCTTTTCACCCTCAGGGGTGGGATGTGAATGTATTTGGGGTGTAAAGAATAATCCAAATTTGATTTTTAGTAGGACAAGATGTACTCTTCTTGCTATCATTCCGGTTTAACTTTACCTGGTTCTGTTCTTTTTTTTTTTTTAAGATTTATTTATTTATGCATACAGAACTGGGGTACAGGCCAGAGATTCGGAGGGTGAGAGGATTCACCAG